CCGGTACTTGGTAGCGCCGCGTCGAGAGCAGTGACTCTCAACTCAATGCTTGGACTTGTTTTTTATGTACTTGGCGTCGCGACGCTACCGCGTCGCTTGATATTCTAGTATTCTCTAGTATTTTCTAGTATTTTCTGTGAAACTGAGTAAAAGTGCGAGAGAGAAAGAGAGAGATATAAGTACGAAACGTACGCTTTGATCAAGTAAGACACGACTGTGTCAGCCGTTTTTCTTTTACGTATAAAGATAATTAGTGCATACGTTAATCGAAAGTCACGAGGTAGGCGCGCGTACACATTAATGTGTATTATACATGCATTCCCATCGCAGAGACCAGTCGAGCTTTCAACGTTCATTATCGCAAAAATGGTAATTCCGCTTTCCTCTTTGGCCGCTAAGAGTGATAAAAAAAGGGAATTATTATATCATCGAGAATTAACATTTTCATCGAGAATTAATACATTTTTCCTGGACATTAACGTTAATGTAATGAAAATTTTAGACAAGAAAAAATTTAGTAGAAACATATAAATGAACTGGCACAATATTCTAAAATTATGGAAAAGATAACATAAAAAATATGCTTCCAATCTCTTTGTAATTCGTCTTCGAGAAGCTAAATTCGATTATTAAATTTTTTCAATAACACGTGATTGATTCTAGTATTTTTCTAAGAGAAGCTCTTTTTATATCTACTCATGTTTATTTATCATTACTATTGTGTCTCTGTTTCACATCCGCTAAACATTTGCATACGTTTAAACGTCGCGTATGTCTGGTATGCTTACGTAAAGTCTATTCATAGCTTCGTAATGAACGTGACAAATCCGATGTATGTGAAATATAGTTATATCTATCTTCCGTCGTCTCAAGCGTCTATCGGGAAAGAGAGGTCAACGACCCGAAAAGTCATCAAAGTAGCCACTAAACCGAAGGACGGCATCAAACCACCCGATATATCCCCGAAGACGTACATCGTCTTTACGTCTTTATTCATATACCGTACCTACAAAAGTCTCGTTATGCATCAACAAAATCGATATAGCGTGCTTCCGAATGCAGGCCAGCAGCGCGGTGACGTAATTCGACGATATATTCAACGAGACCGGAGAGTCATCGAAAACCAGAGTTCTTTCGCGATCATAACACCTCCCGGTTAACTCTCTCGTCTCACGTCGACTCTCTCTCTCTCCCTCTCTCCCTCTCTCTTTCTCTATCTTTCTGTACTTGGCTAACCGTGTAATTCCGTTTTTCCTCGCGGATTTTCCCTTGTTCTCTCACCCTATCCTCTCTCTTTCTCTCTCGCCGTCTCCTGCTATAGCATCTCTCATCTCCCTTATATGCTCCATATTTCCGTCTCGCCCCGATACCCCTACGTTTACCATCGAGATGCCGCGGTCGACTTCCGCTCGGTCAAGCATGATCGAGATTGATCGGCTTGACACAAAAGAGCGGCAGCCGACACTCGGCCCAGTCCAATAGCAAAAGGGTTAATTATAAAGAGCGAGGCACCAAAATCCGATATCGCGGTGCCATTACTCGCGTCGGCGCGATATTGTTGCTACAATTTTTCTCCCGCATTAATATTAGTAATCGTTAAATTAATATTAATTGTCTTAGATGAACCGTCTTTGATTAATGTTTCGCAAACTAGCGATGATGCCGCGAGTAGTTTCGTAAATATTTCACAAGATTTCTTTCCATAATAATAAACATTTCTATGAAAAATTTATTTTAATTCAATTTAAATAGCTTTAAATTACTCTTTAACTTAATTTAAACAACTTTAAATCGCTGTCAAGCTTTTAATAGTATTCAAAGAGAATCGACATAATATTTTCTAATTTCGTCTTCCGAACGAGATTGAAGGAATATTTCTCTACATTAATATATCCATGATATATCCATGTATATGTTAAAAATTATTATACTCATCTCACGTCGAAATTATAACATTATTGACTCTATGAAAAAAGAAATGCTTCGAAACGTACATGCTTTCGGTTTATACATCTTTGCGGAGGGTTAATCTCATTATCCCCCGCCAGAGGGGAACAAAGTGGATCATAAAGAAGACGGTGTGTCGCTTGAACGCTTCGTTGGCGGATAAAGCAATTAAATTTTCACGATTTAAGTGTGATACAACCGTGGTGTGTAACACACAGTTGAACGTAGTAATAAAATCTTCTGGAAAACAACGAGAGAGAGAGAAAGAAAGAGAGAGAGAAAGGAAGAGAGGGAGAGTTTTCGCGATACTTAATTATAATAATATATGCAAGTACAATTGGATAAATATGAATCACAAAACGTAATTATGAGTTATGACTAATTATCGTGCTAATGTGAACATTCATCAGTGCTTAATAACAAAGCTTGTTAATGATATTTCGTTACGTGCTACTTCGTCCCTCTCATTACGCGAGTGAAACTAAATGCTTCCTATTATCCTTAAATTGCTATTCGATTCCGGGATATCTGTTTTCTCCGCGAAAACTACAATATCGCGTACAGTTTTTTCACTTTTGCGAATCGTTTCCTTTTCTTCTATTTGCGAGATACGTGGTTCAATCTAGCAGTCGAAAATGCCACGGAAATGTTCCATCGTGGAATTAATTCAGATACGCTTTGGTCGTTGAAAGGAACTAATTAATAGCACTGGTAGTCGGCTTATTAAAAATCAATGACGGAAATGCAAACATCGCGACAGCCTTTTGCGAACTGATCGGAAACAAGGATTCTGAAAAGATTTATTTCTCTCATCTTTTGATCATATCCAGCAAGTATCGCACTGAGAAAAAATCTGATTGCATTAATTAGAAATTTGGTAGATTCAACTAGTATGTCTGTTGGAAAATGGACGAATCAAAATTCCTTTAGGAATTACTAGATGAGTATGATTAATTTCTTCCTCTTAAATTTACCAAATTTTCTTCGTTATAATACTAAACTTACAAGAAAAATGGCATCGCTGTGTCCATGTTTAGTTAACATAACGACAAGTTTTATAGATTCAACTAAATCCTTGTAGTAAAATCCATTAAACGTTCTAGTTGTAAGAAATCGAGTCTTATCGTGATAACTAGAAATTCTGTTTGGTTTAATCAAAATGCCTATCAGATGTCTTGTTGGTGCGATCAAATGATTTTTCTCAGTGCGTTTTCTCCCCAATGCAAGACGTAACTTTTCTTCAAATCATTTCCAAACCGGTCGCTCGTAAATCACGACATTATGAGCGCGTATACTCGTAACCGTGTAATACGGTTATATTACGTGATTTACGTGCGTCGTTTCGTCCGGGGGATTAGAGAGCAATCCGCGCGTTGGCTTTGCGGCGCCGATTATCTCGGCTTTTATTATTGCGATCGCGTCGGTGTCGTTCGCGCGATCTCGGTTAACTTTCGTCCAATTCGAGACCACCGTTTCCATTCCACTCGGTATTCATCAACCGGGATTACGCGAAGCTAATCGAGCTTTAAAGTCACGCATCTCGAATCCCCGCCAATTAAAAGTTTCGCCGTCCGTAAGCCGAGTTTCTCCGCGGGGCATTGTTTGTCAAGCGTCACTGTTATCGCACCGAATAACCGACGACGATATAAATAGTTGAAGCTTAACGTCGCGAAAGTCGGGCATAGCCCTAAAAGCGTACGATGTCGCGAATATATTTTTAATAAGCGACTGTGTAAAATTGAGCCTACATTACTGGCTCGCGTTGGAAATTCTCGGGTCAACGGGCATGTGAAATACGTGCACGAGGAAAAAGTTAATCAAGAAAATGCAATGTTTATCAAGGTAATTTAGAATCGGAATATCCTGGAATATGTACGTCATTCGAATACTTTGTTAATTCTCATTCGCATCGCTGCGATTTTCAATCACGTTTGCACATGTGTAATTAAATAAATAATTAATTTGACGATGAAAGAGTTTTTAAATGGTGAAGCGACTAACTTGCGAGAATTTCATTCAACACAACGCAACTTGAATAAAACATTAATCTAATTAGTTTCATAAATAGGAGCGTTTTTTTTTGCATTGCCACTGTTATGTATTATAAAAAATTATATTAGCAATAAAAATATGAATGAAATATTATACGATAAAAATTTAACATGCTCGAGCGAAATAATAATTTCCAGATTTAATTATAACGTATAATTTTGATATTTAATAATTCACAAATCTCGATTGGGAAGCTCACAATCTGTTTTACCTGTAAATAATTAAGCGGATTTGTTATATCGCTCGCGAAAGCGATCGAAACGCTTGTTTTTCGTTAATCAATATCAGCAAGCGACAGTAGTTGCGATGGACCAATCGCGGGGATCGTGATTGTTCGGCTTTATATTCGGATTGATTGGTTTACTCGTGGTTTCGTACTGTCTTTAATACCTTAATCTCAGAATCATTAAACTCCCAAGATATTTGTTTCAAGTGCCAGGCAATTTTCGAAGTAGAACATATAAAATCGATTGACTGAAAAGACATATTACACAAAACCTACGCTTTCACAAGCCACGTTTTATTGTACGATTGATATCAAGCGCAGTTCTTGAAATTAAGAGTACATTTCAAACTCTTATTCTTTCAAGTTCTCGCATCATAAGCTCTTATATACTTTCATGAAAAATGTGCTTAAGTTTATAGGAACTAATAATTTGTTTTCCCCCGCTAATAAAATAAGTTGTTAAATTATATTTCATTTATATTTATTCATTTGAATATTTTTAGTATTTTATATACGACATTTATTACAAATGTTATATATTAAAGAGAGAATATTAATATTTTTTCCTTTTAATTATGAGAAAATTTTAGCGTTAATTACGTAATAAAATCGCTGACATTCGATGACAGTTTGCAAAAGCAACAAAAAATTAGAAATAAGTAGTTTCTTTTGCGGCATCCATAAATATTTCATTGTAAATGTAATAAAAAAATAAAAGAGATGCGCCTCCAACGAATGCGAGGAAGAGAGGTCTGCTAGGAAATTGAAGACTTACCTGGCGGTCCATGGCAGCACCTTGTTGCCCTCCAAACTGATGCTCCGCAGCTCGTACTTGGTCCTATATCGCAACGGCGAAGCTGGCACCGCATTTGCGTGGGTAACGTTCTTCATGCTCTTCGTGGTAGGCCCGGAGAGCGCGTGCCTTCTCATGGACGTGCCTTCCCTCGCCGACTGATTGATCGTCCTTCTCAAAGAACTCATTTTTCGACACTCTGTTTGTTCGCGAGATTGTTCACAATTCGGTCACGTGACCGTTATTACGCGTCATAATTTTCGGCGAAACAGACGAAATAGTCGTAGAACGGCAATTTATACCTTCGACAGGTGTCCCTTATGATCAGCGAAAAACCTTTAGTCAAACAGCTATTCCTTTCTTCTGGAAGTCCTTTTCTCATAACATCATCCTTCTCCAGTCAGCGTAATCTCCTGCCGCGAGGAAGTTTATCCTCGCCAGACCCAGTTTTCCGTCGCGAGAACCTTCGACTCTCCGCTCTGGCGATAGCATCCTAGCTCAAACTTCTCGAACAAACGTTTACGGGATAAACACAGATCCCTCTCAGTTACAGAAGCTTCTTCTTCGCTCTGTCGTCTAACGACGATCTCTTTCTCCGTTTCGCGGGGAAGTAGTTATACGGAACTCTCCTCGAGAGAGATTACAGTTCGTTAATCGAATCCCGTCTTCGTTCGTCACGAAGAAAGGTGCTGCTTACCTCGGTTCTCGTCGCGAACGACTGTCGATGTCTCGTCGGGAGCGATCATCCCGCCTGGCTCTTCCGATCCTCCGAAACGATCGTCTCTCGGATAGTCTTCGGTCCGACTGATCACAGGTGCGGCTGTTTTATCCTGTACGAGCGTAAATGGCCGCGCTACTTTTCAACCCCACCATCCATCGGCGTCGTTTACCACCATAACTCGCGCCGTCCGTTGCCGGTATGCTGCTCATCGTCCAGCCCCACCATCGTTCCTCGACACCCCACGTATCTGCCGTCATCATCCCTCGCCGTAGACGCTTTCTTCTCTCCTGAGGACACCCTCTCTCGTCTCTTCCCTGCTCGATATCGGCTATTCAAGCGCGAGCGCGCGACAACTAAACTCTATCGCACCTCGTCGAGCCAATCAACGGTGCATCGAGAGTGGATGCTACGAATGCGTGTGGCCACTTCGTATTGTGATTATTATCAGATCTCTCTTGCGTCGCTATTTTTTTTCTCTTCGATAACAGACGCTAAGGTTTGACGATACCAGAGTTACATCGTTGACGTTATTAAAATTAGAGAATATTGCTATGCTGCGTTTTTTCTCTCTGAATAGCTAGGTGGATATTGCTAGAATTAGACGAGTCATTCTATCGGGATTGTTGAATCTAAAAGAAAATAGTCGTCACGCGTCATCGCACTTTCCCATTTCGCGTTGACGGATATTAATATTATGTAGAGACCTTTTATTTTACTGGAATTTTTCCGAAGCTGGGAGAAAGAAAGTTCCCATTGCATCGCATTGCATCGTGTCTCTTCTGACAAATACCAGCAATACTAATCATTCCGCGAGAATTGCTCGGGGAAGAAAATGTTTATCGCGTTGCATTATTTTTACCAACGTAATAAATGTCAGCGTTTGAACAATAAAAAGAATGATCAAGTAAGATCGACATTTTTCTCGCGAGTCACAAAGTTCTTCCCAATTCGAGATATGTCGGACTCGCATGATCAAAGTGAGTTGCGACGAGCGCCACGATGCAAACGGCAAATGTAACTTGGAAAATTAGTCGCTTACCCTTCGACGTTTCTCTCGAGCGTGCAACTAATGTCTATGCATCGCGAAGTTACCCGTGCATAAACGATTACCTACCCTTTAAACGAGTATCCGTGCACGAGCCCTTACTGCGCGTCAGCTATGCACGAGTTCACGCATCATAGGAATTCTTCCAACGCAAGTTTGCGTCAAGAAGCGTATTTTATTTTTCGCTATTTATTCTTCCGTGAAACGTGCACACAGTTAATGCGTTACGCATAATGAAGTTCTACGAGAAAGCTCTAGGGAATGTCCTCGCGCGATCTTAATTCCGTTGAAATAATAACGATTCTACGCGCGACGAATCCTCGAATGTGGATTTTCCTTGAGAAAATATCTCCAAATTATCGTCGCGCGGTTTTATGCCGCTTTTTATAGTGCTCAACGTTAAACGTCTTGATAATTAAACTTTGGGTTATCGCGTGGGAGTCTCAATTAGAGTGTTACACGTGAAAATTAATTGGTCATTTCCGAGCTTTTACATTCGATGGCAACGTTTAGTTGAAATTTTCCATTCAAATATGCAAATTAATCAACGAGTTCAAGGTCGCTATTAAAATTTTTACGCACGTCACACGCTGCTAGATCACACATAGTCGTTCGCCTTAGGCCTCTATTGATCGTTAAACTTAGTTTTTGTGCACGCTTCACTTATATGTTATAAAGATAATCGGTTAGCTGCAGCCTGATTGCGATCCACGCTTCGTTCCAGCCTGGTACGCTTCTTTGAAAAAACAATCGTGCAGAAATAAAACGGTAATGTGTAAAAATGTATTCGATTAAATTTCGAAAAAAAAATATCAATCCAATTCGAATGTCATTCATTAAAATTGTTTTACATTTTGAATGAAAATTTTGATAATTACGAGGTAATTTCGAATAATTTCGAAAGGCGTTACGCGTTGCTGCGAAACTTGAGAGAGAGAGAGAGAGAAGGTTTTATATAAAATATATCTCATCGAACTCTCGTAATTAACATGCATGTGCTTTAGGCATCTATTTTACCCTCCCCCTTTACATAGTTGAGACATGGCACGAGTTGTCGCTCGAGCTAAAACATTTCGCAACAAAATACATCGAATGAATCTAGTTTGCGACACGGCGGGAGAACGAGCATCTATTGTCGTATCTTCTTAACAATGATAATTAATCCGAATATAGCGATGCGCGACGAATGCAAATTACGCTTGTAACATCGCCAACCGTTCCGTCATGAATTTCAATTTTCGATCAGTTGAACAATCTCTGGTATCTACGTCATCAACGCTGGATGGGAATTCACCCTTGTGGGAGTAATGACATTTAACCGAGGGATCTCACGTGCGTTGCATCATTCTCGCTTACCCCTAAGCCGCACGTGCCGCGCACCGGAAGTGCAGCGCAATCCTCTTCGAGTCATCCCATTACCGGGATGAATGTGTCACATTGCACGATACGCTGTCGCGCATACATACGTGTTACGTAATTGCGATTTTTCGCGAAATTCGCGGCTCGAGACGCGCGCGATCCTCCCTCGATCCAAGGAGCGCCCCCGCGGATCGCGAGCAAGCTCGGGAACGGCCGTGGAAGACTGCTCGATTCACGGCCAAGATAATTCCGCGAAGGGTGCGCGGGAAAAACGCATGCGTCGATCCGCCCCGCATGGTCGAAGGAGCAAAGTACACATGTACCTACGTGTGTGGCGCTCGGACGGATCGCGACTTTGTATTTTCGGAAAAAAACAAGCGCATATATCTCCAAGCGAGGGGGAGCAAGGACCGGGGGATGAACGCGTCTTTTTCTTCATCGAGGGATCGATCAGAAGGAGGACTTCTCGAAGCAATTATAGAAGCACCCTCGTATACGTGTGCTCCGTTTCTCTCCCTTCTCCTTCGATCTCTCTCCCTCTCTCTCTCTCTCTCTCTCGTTTTTTTTCCTCTATTTCTCTCTGACGCGACCTCGGGATCATTCGCAATGATCGCCCGAAGCTGCTGTCGATCTCGATGGATCCGCCTCTTTGCGGAGAATTCTTTTCTCGGCTCGTAATTAATTTAGACACATTCCTTCGTCCGCTTCGCCGATTGTTCCGGGCGAGAAGACTGGATGAGTTCTCGAAGAGAGAGGAGATGCAATCTAATTATCACGAGAGATGCTTGTGCTTTTCGTATCGGCATCTTCTCTAATGCTATTCCTTACCTTGCCTTCTTTTTTTTTTCTTTTTCCTCTGATATAGAATATTATATTATTCCGTAGCGTATTAGGTTGGTATATGCGCTCGAGAAAAATAGATTCAATTTTAATCTCGTAATCCACGCTCTTCTCCTTTTACATCGCGCGTTTTATGTATTCGTTGAAATTAAAATTGAAGATCATCTTGTTATTCGCCCAGACAATCTGGCTGACATGAGTACACTTGTTTAACATGACACAAATAAAATTATCAAGCATCGAGAAAATATTCTTCCTGATAATGTTCCGAAGCAGTAAACTCCTTCGTAAACAAGATAATGTTCTCCCTGTACGGATACGCTAGAGAATAAGATTTCCTCAGTAAACCATCAAGTTTATTCGGCAATAAGGGGTAACAGTACAAGCCGCTTTTAGTAACCAATTTTATTAATAGCCATAGTTCTCTCCGACCTCGCTCGAGGATCATATTACACTTTCCATTTATTCGCGATTGCTGTTGAACTTATGCGCTATTTTATCATAACTTCGACAACAACGTCGACTCGTGTAAATTAATCTCCCGCGAAGTAACGCGAAGCGACGAGAGTGTTACATGATTTATTACATAACGCACTCAGACTTCGCGATTCGTGCGCTGTCGGCATTTGTTAGCAGTTACAATTTAGGGGAGTTTAGTTCAAACTTATATATATCCGCCGCTTATCGAAACAATGCCGTCAAGACAGCGAACCTATTGGCCATTTGTCTCAGCCATTTTATCATCTCTTCCCCTAGCTTTTTCCCCTATTTTTTTCCCTTAATTCGATCCCTCGTCTTGTTATGTACATTCCAATAGCACCCATTTCACTCGCGATACCCTTGCGAATATTGCACGAGCACGTTCGACCCGAGAAAACGACCAATTCACACGCAATTCGCATTCGTTACAAGATTTAATATAAAAATGATAAAAGCCGTCTCTACAAGAAATATCCGTTAGGTTAATTTCTAACATTAATGTAGCGCACTGTTTCACCCTTTACTTTTCTTAATTCCACGCGTCATTCCATGTCACTCTCTTATTCCACGTTAATCCCATAAGTTAAGCATAAGCGTTTCATTAATTTTTCTTATCCGAGGCACTTTTGCCTCCCTTTCTTCGACATTGAATTTTGCTCGCGATAACAAGTCTTTGTTAGAAGATACTCTGAAAGGATGTAACCGACGTCGAGAAAGAAAACTCGGACGTTGATAACACTTGTTATGTAATTTTTCAATATGATTTATTATCTCATTTTTCGCGATTAATATTCCTTTCGTGCGCTGGGGCACTTTATGCTTTCATCGATCCCCACATGTGTGCGCTTGATATTCTTTTCGATGTTTAAGGTATAATGCATAACTTTATTATTGATTTTGATTTACAGTCACATGTAAAGAAAGCGGCCACAATGACTGCTTCCTACGCATCATGTGTTCGCAAAATTTACAAACAAGTAAATTATCTGTCTTAAGCGCGATGTCGATTTCGAAGCCCTTGGACGGATTTATCTCGCAAACAATCGACTCGGACTTGAACTATCGAACACAAATTCTAGGAGCTCCTTAGTCCGCGCATCGATTATATTGAATTGTGCATGAATTGAGAGCAGTATTGCAATCGCTTTGCCAGCATTGGTAGTACCGTTATAATTCAACGGTATGACGTACAAATTAAAGTACAACGTATATTAACTATCGATATAGAGCAGTTGCGCGAAAATAATTCAAATATCGATGCATTTTTCCATATTTTTTTTCGGATATTCTAAGAGATTATATAGGGTGTCGAGGCAATCTTTTCCCCCAAATAAGCTCTTGTAACTTGCCTCGAGAGCTTTTCAAAACACTATAATAAAGTATTTTTTCATCGAGTACTTTTCGAGTTATGAGGCTTGAAGTAATTTCTTAATTTTTAAATAAAATATCTAGTAAAATATTCATTTTTCGATTATCTTATCTTAATATTTTTATATATAAAATAATGACAGGAATCAATTGGTGTAAAGAAAATACATAATTGTTTCGAAAAAATATGTAATTGTTAATTGCATAACTCGAAAAATATTCGAAATAAAAAATACTTTATTACAGTGTTTTGAAAAGCTCTCGAGGTAAAAGCTACAGGAGCTTTTTTGGGAAAGAGATTGTCCTGACACCCTGTATATACACAGCAAATTTATTTTAAGTACCATTATATTTCAAAATTGTGTATTGCAAGTAAAAATTTGCTGATGCAATTTTTTGATACCGTTCCAAAAATCAGTTTTGCGTTATCTCTAACATCCTTTGTCCGCAGTTTTGACAACCGATAATTTTAATCGATATCGCAAACAAAAACGAAACGTAGCGTTATCTTTTCAAGGCAAAATGTTTCGAATTGTTGACCATTGTCAAAACAAATGTAGAAATCCCGGAGCAATTACGTGCAATCGTCATGAGAATTATAATCGCGCCCTGATATATTAATGTAATTTGCAAACTCTCCGAATTTCCATCTCGCAGCTCAAGGATTCGGAAGACTTTGTAAACTCTAATGACTGCACGTAGATAGAGCGCGATGAGAGAGTTATAAATTTAAATTTAACGCAGCTTGTGACTATACATTAGCCGTAAAGATACGCCATATAATTACAAATACCTATCTACGTACGAACATACCGTGTCGGTCGATATCTCGACCGAGCCCAGGTATTCCGACGACAATACATTAAATCGGATAAAAGGCTTGAGGAGGGGGTTAAGGTAAATGATCTTGGAGAGAGAAGTTTAAACTATATCGTTTGTGAAGCATATAACCCAGCACCGTGTGTTTCGTTACCTATTTAAGTAGACTATTATCGCAGTTGTATCGCAAACGGGAATGTTTTAATCGCGAGCTACGTGCGATCCCTTACGATCTCTGAGAAAGAAAAAGAAGGAGAGAGAAGGAGAGAGATCGATCTTCGCGATTTATCGAACGTTAGGAAGCTGAGGACAAGCTGCATCGCGCGACATTATATCCTCTCATGATTATGTTATTTATTATTTTCTGCCATTTGCTCTTTTTTGCGTTATTTTTTTCTGTAACTCGAATGTTGACATATTTGCTAATTAAGCCGTTTAAATTTGTCGAAGGATATTCGAATGAGAATTCTACGCTATTCAAACTCGTACTTTGTACCGTAAAATATTTCTAACAATGTTTTCTGTGATTTATAAAATACGCAAAATGGCGCAATATATTTGTCACTTGAGAGCGCAGTTAGCGATAAAAAGTTTTCATTGCCAGTATAAGCTTTAATCGTTTGATTTCTGCAAATTATGCTCGATTTTCTGATAGTATTTTCGCCAGAATCTGCAGACTCACTCGTGGCGAGATAAACAACTCGTATGATCTACGTCTACGCGTTCCGTCTACGAGTGACGTGTGAAGAAATTGGCGGTTGAGCAAGTTTCCAAAAATTCGGGATATTGTAACATCGGGAGATTTCGATATCGAAGGAACGGAGGACTCGGGAGGCAGTCGCGAAATTGATTGGAAACAATTCAGTTTGAGCGATTACGAGCGATTATTCGCGAACTGTCAGACATGAATCTAGGCAGTGAATGGCCATGAGTTGTAGGACACCGATATAACTGGCGTAAAAAAATAGCGACCTGGCCGCTATAAATGAATATTAGTATGCGAAATATTATTTTGTATTTCATTGCTCGTTCGAATGCATTGTTATTCTTGGCAAGATATCCATCATACGGAAGGTCTCTGCTTGAGAGCGAAACAAACAGCGGTGGCATCCACTCGTAATGCGCGAGTCACGTAGAGTCACCGACCGAAAAAGTGTCCGTGAGAAAAATATAAGCGCTCGTATAAAACATAATCCATTATATTCGTGACTCGCAATAGAATTTAAAACACATGCAAATCTGTAGAAGAGCCGCGAAGAAGTGAAAAATAAAATTTTTACTGATCTTTTAATAAATTTTCGGTTCTTCAATTCTTTGAGCAGTATACTCTTCACATATTCAAGAAATATTTGAAATATGCAGTTTTCTCGAAAGCTCTCGCTTTTATTTACAGAATCTCTGAATTTTTAAATATAAATTATTATATTTAAAAAATACTTTTCCTCCAATTGAATCAATTGAGAAATTCGATTAATTACTTCATTAAAAAACTGACAGTATCAAAAAGATTCCCTGCTCAAAAAATTACAGAATAACGATCTTAAGCTCCTCGATTTCGTCAAATATAAACGGTGTTGCCCATTGTCGGAATTTATTTCTAACAGCTCCTTTAGATCCTCGTCGAAGTAAAGCAATGTCGCTCAAGGCCCGCTCATATCTGCATCTCCGGCTCGGAATTATTGTCGTTAAACCAGTCCGAGGCTCTCTGACTTTCCGTCACGCGTACGTTAAGCTCCCTCTCGGTATATCGACTCGATCTCGTGACGGACGGGCCTCGTCTGTGCTCGTCGAAGGAGGCGAGAACCAATCTGTCGCCCCGTCTGATCGCCCTCGGGGTCGTTTCCACGGAACTGGTGCCATCCTCCGCGGTCGCCCACGGCGGCAAACTTCCGGAAGGCATGCCCCAATGCTCGGTGAATTCCGAGCCCGACCTGGCCAAGCTCGGCTGGCTGAGCGATCTGACCAGAGAATCCGCGCCCTCGAAGGAACTCAAGCTGGTCAGATCGTCCCGGTCCATCCGGGCAAAGTCGCGAACCGTTATCTCGGACATCGATCTCAGATCGGCCTCGCTGCCGGCGCCGGCGCCTCGCGAACGAATAGAACCGCCCAATCGACGTGGACGACCCTGTCCACCGATCATGGTCGTGGCGGACTGCGATGTCTGCAGATGATGACTCTGAGTGCCTAAGGTGCGCGCCGAGCTGCCGCCGTCGCTTTCGTACTCGTACAAGGTGGGGAGGGAAGATCTTCTGGACCTGGTGTCCCATTCCGATGATTTGGACCGTTTGTATCTCTGTCCGTGATTTTTGCCGTGGCTAGAGGACGAGGTGGAGCCGGTGTGCGTCGACGGTGGGCTCAGAATGCGGATAATCACGTCCCACTTGGCTGGCGGGAACAGATTGACGTATCTCGCGTCTTTGCGGATCAGCTCGTAATCCTCCTTGACTACCGCCTCGGTCAGCAAAGTGCGCAGCGTGCTCTCCGTCGTGATGATCTCGCGCCACTTGGCGCGTTCCTCGTCCGTTAATTCGGTGGCGTAACGCGGTTCTAGGACGCGCGCCAATCTAGTGTACCAATCGGCATCGGCATCGTCGAGGGAACGACGGGAGGCGGGGGGTGGCGGTCTGCAGGGGATCTCGGCGCGGGTGGTGTAGGTCGGCTCGATGCTGACGTCCGGCTCGTCGTCCACGCCAGCGTTCGTCGGCTCGTTCGTGATGGTTAAATTGGAAGCCGAACTGACGTCGGAGAAGTTCTCCCATTCCGGTGGCGGAGGCGGCAGGTCCTCCGTCGGATAGTTCCTGATGGTGACGTCCCACTTGAGATCCGGCGGCGGTTGCGGCCTGGCGCGATACTCGGTGACCTGGCGAGAGTGACGCTCCACGTCCTCGATCGTCTTCTTCTCCGTGACGGTGCGCAGAAACACGTCGTCCACCTCGTGGGTCGTAATTTCCGGACGGCGAGGCGCGACCATCTGCGGCTCGACCAGCGGCTCGGTCATCTCCTCGCGCAGCAGACGGTGCTCGCGGTGCTGAACGGCGGTGTGGGTCGCGGTGGTGGACGTGGTTGGCGCGATGGAAGGCGGCGGCGGCGGTGTCGGCGCCAGGATGCTCGCCACCCGGTATTTGGCGTGAGACGCGTCCGTCACCTCGGTAAGCGAGCGAGTTTCCGTGAGCTCGGTGTTCAGGGAGGTGAGGGATCTCGGCCGGCGGATCTCGTGTTGCAAGAGCGGTTGCTCGGTCGTCGGCGACGGGAGTTTCTCCTGAATCACGGTGGTCTCCCGCTCCGCCTGTTTACGAAGAATTCTCGAGTAGACCGGAGGCGTCTGCTGTCGGGAGATGGTGGAAACGGACGACGCGCCACCCGGTGGTCCATGAAGCTCGGGAACGTAGGAGAAGGTCGTCATTCGGTAGGGCGTGCTTTCCAACGAACGCGATTCCTCTCTTTCCAGGATAGTCGTCAGGTTTCTCTCCAGGGCGATGCTCGCCACGTCCGATTCCGATGGTAAGGGACTCGGCGGTGGCGGTGCTCTCTTCACTCTCATCTGTACGTCGAATTTCGGCTCGAGCGGAACAGCCACGGGATGACGCGGTATCATGACTCTGGACGCGTTCGCGGCTGTCATCGACGAGGTTTCCACCTCGGCGGCGACCGTCTCGGAATACAAAGAACTCGAGGTACGCATTTCCACCTGGCGCTGATGCTGGATCTCGCGATGATCCATGAACGCCTTGTTGTCGTAAGACCCGGCGGAGGACACAGGCAACGAACGTTCCTCGTCCACCTGTAGAAATAAGGCAAAAGCGATTGGTGTAGATCAGCGCATCTACTATTCATTTGCATACATTTTTCTAGAGGATTTAGAAAAGCCTTTCAAGTTCTTTATATATAATTATTCATACATATTTACAATATATGACTATTGTTGAAATTAACGAAATTTTATAATTTCATAAAATTGTGATATTAAATAATATTTTATAGAACAAAATTGTGATATTAAATATCGAAACTTCAATACACAAACATCGAGAATTAAACAATTTTCAATCATTCGTAGGCTGAATAAATTAAAATTTATTACACAGAAATTTATATTCGTAATTCGATTAAAAAGATTAGCACGATATGAGAGTGACGCTTCTCTATTTACTTAATAAGCTGAATGTTCCATCATCCGCCTTCGCAAACAATTATCGAGACTCACCTCGGAGTGGCTCTCGCTCGGATAATCGCTCGGCAACGTGTCCGAATGATCGATCACCAGATTCGCCTCGCTACCGGAAGTAGAGGCGGCGGTCGCGTGAAGAAGGGCGTGCGCGCGCGGTATCTTGAGACCCTCGAACATGGTGATGTTGCTCAGGGTCGAGCCGGAAAGTTTCGTTATCTCGGAGCCGGTGCCGCTCTCGAAGGGATGTCGATGGACCACGCGGACATTACGGCGTTTCAGGCACATGTAGGAGCAGCCGAGACCTAGCAGGAGCAGCGACAGGAACAGGATCGCGCAGATAATCAGCAGGATCTGGAAGCCTTTTAGCGGCGGTTCGGTGACCGGCGAGGGCGTCAACGTAGCCAATCTACGAGCGGAAATCAAATTAGAGCGGAGCACCAAGTGTGTCCCGGAGATGAGAGAAGAGACGTGCAAATAACTACAATGTCGTGGCTAGTACTACAGTTAGCGTTGCGATATCTCGGAGCTGTCCTCGAGTGTAACTGGACTATAACTAGAGAATAAAGGCGTGTATATGTTACGACACGTTCTGAATACAAAGTATTACTTTCCTTATTCCTCTGACAAACACAGTAATATTAAATATCAATTATCTGTCGCAAATGCTTAACAATTTAAGTAGCAAAAGCGCGTGTATTTCTTGTAATATTCGTTTCTTTAAATTTTCGTCCGTTTGAATATTAATTATATATCGCATTTATTGAATTTGGTTGTAATGTTGGTCGACCGTAGAATTTAACGGTGTAATGATAATTGATGTTTCCTTGAAAAGAAGGACAAAAGAGAAAGAGAATTTAAGAGTGACCTTCATTTTTTTCGACAATGTGGATTTCAAATAAATTATATGAATTGTTTTAAGAAAAAAAAAACTGCTTTTATAATTTGTAAAATTAAAATTTAAAATTTGTAAAATTTATAAATTAATATAAAAAATTAATGCGTTAGATATAATATATAAAATTATTTAATAAATTGAAGATCTCAATATGAAAATGAAAAAATGATTCGACAAATCCTACGTCAGCTTTTGCAAACAACTGATATATACTGATATTTTTTCCGGTAAGCATTTTAATAAAGAATTCTTACATGCTTTCTGGAGGCTTTGGAGGTGCCGGCGCTACGGGTGGAGGATATCTGCAGACTATGGTGATAACCTCATCTCCGTCCATCTCTAATCCGGGGTGAAAGCGAACAACCACGTTATTGGTAAACACACGCAGAGGATCCTGCTTTGTACCGCATCCTGAAATGCAGATTGTTTTCGTGCGATGAAATATTAATTAAATTTATTGGAGTAGAAAACTGAGAATTTCTAAACGCAAATTATAAGTTGTATAATTATATATGAATTAAAAATGAATACTTCGAAAAAGCAGTAAACATAAAAAAATAGTAAACATAAAAAAATGCATCAAAATTGCGTCAATTTCGTTCTGTTTCTGTATTTTGTAAAAATCTAAATATACGTCAATACGTTCAATAAAAATATATTGTCCCATAGAATTTTTGATGCGATACAAATTAAATTTTTCAATCATTACAATATCATTGCATTTTTATATACGATTCGATTTCATTTCTTAATAAACGGTTTATTTTTTATTAATTTTACGCTTTCGCGAAATAAAAGTTTATTCTGTTTACTGACAAAAAAAAAGACAAAAATATAAAATATAAAAATAGGAAAGGATACCCTTTAGAGGTAGTTCCAATTTAGCGGTGGTCGCGCCTCGTCCTTTGAATATGCAGGCGCTGTTACGATCGAAATCAGCGTAAGCCACTCCATAGAACGGCTCCTCGAATTTGAGTTCGACCTCCATGCTACCTTGGCCGCAGTTTAGGGAGGCCTTGGTTCGATTCAGAAATATAATCGGCAAGATGTCGTCCAGCTTGGTGACCTTGCCATCGAGAACCGTGCTCGGTGGCAGTCCCGGCTGATACTCGATGCTGTTGCCTTGCGATGCATAGTTGCTCTGAGACAACACGATCGGAATTGCCGCCCAGAGCAGAATCGTCAATTTCGGCAACATCTGCGGCGAAAAATAATAGTGATCTTTCGGGAAACTGACAACGAATATAAAGAAAAATGATCATTATAGGACAATAGCGGGGATGTAATTAATCGCAGAAATTTGAATCAAGAAAGATTATTATATCAGAAAAACTCGCAACAAAATTAAGAAAAATTCGTACTTTTAGAAAATATTGTTTTATTATAGAATATTTTTATTAAAGTGCATGAAAATTGAGTTTATGTCATGATATATATGTATTATCATATTTTTAAAAATTAAAATAATCCGCGAAATATATATAAAATGTATACTCCAAGTCATCACTTTTCAGCAATTCTTTTACGATTTAATAATCATTATTTTATTTCTAGTAATACTATCATATTTCATGAAAATTTTATTATCGGAATGTCGTGTCCGAAGTCTCTAATACACGTTGTAATAAACTTTAATGATAAACGACATGGCATGTACGACATGTACTATAACGATTGGAATCATCATGTTCTCAGGTATCATTCGAGAAGCACGAGGAAGCGGCTGTCCACATTCCCACGAGCGACTTCCAGAGAACGTAAGTTTTCCTTCATATATTTCAGCTATGTCATTGTTTATACGCAATGCTCGATTCACACGTGGATCCATACGCGTGGTTTGCCCATCGTAACGCATGTCATCGTGTTCCTCGTACAGGGTGTACCAAAACTTTCTTCCAAACACAGATGTTAATCGCAGATCAATAATAAAAGAGTTTTTGGTTTAAGTTAAAAAAATAAATTTATTAAAGTAATTTAATTTAATCTGTTTTCACATAATTTAAGAAAGGCTGAAATTTATATATTTATCTTCAAAAAATTAAAATCGTGATGTAAATTTTCAATGAAATTTCTATTAAATTCTATGAAATAATTTCTATTAAATTCTATTAAATAATAATTAAATCCCATTAAATAATTTCTATTAATTTCTATTAAATAATGATTAATTAAAAATTAATTTGAATTAATTTAAAGATTGATCAAAGAATGTGTAGCCGAGAGAATAGTACTAACAATTCTTTAGTACACCCTGTGAAATATCTCGAGATGCGCGACCCTTCTCGAGTTAAATCGTCCTTTCTTACTCAACTGGAGCAGAGAAAGCCGTTATTCGTCGCGAGATATAAAATGCAGATAAATGCGGGTTTTGTCATCTCCGATGTTCGTCGTAATAATATCCGCGACAAAAGTGCCGCATAAAAATTCCGTTAGACTCTAGACAAAATTGAACACATTCTGCAAGTTGATGAGCATTCGATCAATCGCCGTCGAGCGGTGTAACGCTCATAATTCTTCCCACGCAACAGGGGAGAGCTCGTCCTTTATAAACGACAAAAACGAAGATGACATATTGTAAGTGTAACGATATGCGCGAAACGATTATAGCTGCCGCGGTCTCGAGAGAGCCTACTTCAAGGTACTGTTACGCCCGTAATTGCATCAAGTAAACGCACACAAATTATAGGCATTATATACCGGCCGTATCTATAAAAATATCTCGATGTGCGTTTCTTTCATGCACGTTCATAAGCCTAGGTATGCACGATGATCGCACGATCGTAAACGCCAGATGACGGTAAAAATAATCCTGATTAAAATACACTCGCGTGGAAACGCGTGAATCACTCCCATCGACTGCCATCGTCATTGCCGGCGAATTCGCGGTCCCCTTTGCTGAAAACTGGACGACGCCTAGCAAATTGTCCGCCGTTAATTATTCGCCCCGCTGTGTGTTTAGTAGCGCGTGAGAATCTCGCAAACAGCCCTCGTCGCATCGTCTCGCGCTGCGACCATTAACGTTTACTGTCACATCGAGCGAAAATGTCAAAAAAAAAATTCGAATGTCTTATTCGTCCATCTAGAATATGTTTCTGTTATTCGAAAAAAAAAAGAAAAATAAAGAGACAGCATTGATTAAACAACTTTAAGCGAGCAAGAGATAGATAAACTTTGAAATTGTTGATTTTACGCGAAAATAATTGAAAATAAAAATAGGAAAGAGAGAGACAGAAGAATAATGAAAATATAAAATAATGAAAAATAAAAGCTATATTTGAAAAAAAAAAATATTAGACATGCAGAACGACAACTTAAATATCGGAGCCGCCATCAATCGTTAGGAGTAAAAATAGATTCGAACAGCAATATTTATATCGATGGTCGTCCCTACTCCTAAAAAACTGCTACGGACCTAAATGCGCGGTGAGTGCATAATTCAAGAGTAATCGACTGAAGTGACAGATATGACGGGTTATTTATTAGTGCCAAACATCGCATGGGCTAGAAATAGTTACATTAATTGCGCGTGTGACGCAATATATATAAATCACATCGGGAGCGATTAATAAAACGTGTATTTCCAGACACGTGTGATGAGTGTTATAGTAAATTACGCAAAAATAACAAAGATACAGGAACATGTTTCAGATTTGTTGTTTCTTTTATCAACCGCGAGTTAATCGGTAAATTAATTTGTCGTCAGCGAAAATTTGATAATTTTTTGCAATTAAGTATAATAATAGAATATTCTTAGTTCACACTCGCATTAGATACAAATTAATTATTCAAATCAATAAATAAAATATTCCTTTCTAAATAAATATTCTTAATACATTTCAAAAAGATAATATATTTCGGCAAAGATCGAGAAATTTAAAAAATTTGCAAAAATATTTAATATCAAAAACTCAACACATTTATACGCGAGTAATCCATTTAATCCATTTAATAGTACGCATAAAAAATAATTTTATATTTATCAGAATTTCTTACTAAAGAACATGCCATCCATTGTATAATCTAAACGATCGCGAGAATCGTTTTGTAGAATCACAAAATGGCGGATCTCGGGACGGCTTAAAATTCATTAATAATTTTACAATTTCAAAGAGAAGCTACGTTCTCGATTGTAAACGCAGAAAGTAACGCGTGAGAAGTCTCATGGCAATTGTAACTATTTCCTGCTTCCTGCGTTTCCTTTCTTCGAACGTGCTACAACGTATCACGCGCTTACTTAATTATTTAATTAATGCGCTATATACAAGTTGAAAAAAAGAACGGTTAATAGGGAAAAACAAAGTGTGATTTAATTGGCGATGTTAACCCATATCGTCTTACAGCATTAGCATATTGCGTATGAGAAGCTGAGTCGAAATAAAAAACCTCTGCGCGGCTTTATACGAGTACAGCTTAAGCGCTAAATCGTATTACAATCCCTTCGGTAATATTACACTTCCCTCAGCCTCCCGCGGCTGCTGAGATACGAGGTACTCGCGCCATACTTTAAGACGCCAATTACGCAAATAATTTTATAGTCCTTAATTATTCTCGTCCTGTTCAAACGTTTGTCTTTGATATCTCGAAATTGAATATAATAACTTTGCTACTTATCGCGCTTCGAAAATATCATTAATTCTACTCGCGATATGAAGAAGAAAGTGAGTACAAGAGTCAATCACGAGATGTATAAATTTTTCATTACTGTATTTTTAAAGATAAAATGAAAATAGCAGAGATCCGATACAATATATCGCAACAAAAATATTTTGATCGAGAGACGCGTATTATCAAACATAAATTTTTCCATGATTAAAAAAATATTTTTACGCGATTGTTCGTTATGAACAACAATTATTAATAAAAACCGAATAGAGAGAGGAGTCTTGTCTCGAAGCTTTTCTGCGCGAATCTCCCTGGTTGTACCTTAACGGTATCTCTGATAGAACTTATTTTCGTAGAAAAGTCGAGTCATGCCCTTTCCTCAACGATCGATTCGTTTACGTTTCGATGCAACGTACGAGACTTTATTTATTGCGATTGTATCATCCATCAGTCCTCTCGCGTCACTGAGAGATGTCGAGATACCTTTGAAATAGCCATTATCCGCTCAGCAGCGAGGCCATTAAAAAAGATGCGATTGATATCCGGCCTTCCGCTGGCGCAATCTTGACTTCCTCGTGCAGCCGGCTACCGTGTCCGGCAAAGAAAAAAAAAAAAAGAACCGTAACAAGTTTCCCAGCAGCGACTATCCTTCAACACTTCGCAATAGATTTAAGAAGACAATTATAGATCCTAGTTTGTTTACTACAGCGCTGTATTACGTTACGTAATTTCACAATTTATGGAGAATCCTTGTTAATGATCAAAATATTTTTGTTGCGATGTAACAACAGATTAAAAGCAAAATAAAAATATTATAAAACTAAAATAAAAAATTGGCTCAAACTAATTAAATAATTAATGATAAAAATATAAGTTTCCTGCCTTTATATCCGTCAAAATTTGACGAATATTAGGAAATGAAATTAAAGTCTTTATTTGATAGAGAAAATTCTTTTTTTTTTTCTAAAAATAATATAAAACAATATTTTATATAAACAATATTATATAAATCTTCTCTGTCACTTCCATTTTACCTTCAAAAGTACAAAAATATAAAATTTGTATCTCTACCTTGTACCCACTCTCTCCATCATATCGCGAGTAGAATTAACGATATTATCGAAGCTAGCGCGCGAAAATACGCTCGCGTTTATTAAATTTATTTCTCAGCGGAAATCGCGTACAAAATCGTTCTTTGTGCGTGCGTCATTGAATTATGATCCAAATTTCTTTAACGCGCATTAGATGAACCAGATCTGTCCCAGCTGAAGTCGTCATTTCGCGGTGCGGATACTCGCGAGGGAAACGTGCCAGAAATCGAGGGGAATACTTCGCGGTCGTCCTTCTCTCTAACGATGACTGCCGGCAAACCCGTGATGCAGGACCGCGAACGAAGGAGAGTCTCGGGCACGCTTCGATGCATCGGACCGACTGCACCGTTAGACCGCACCGCGATAATACGCGCTCGCGATATAAGAGAATGCCCGGTTATACTGACTCGGCTCCACCGAGTGTCGTTGTTTATCCCCGAAACCTGCGAATTTTCTATTTTTCCAATCCCAAATCGACGGTATTTTGCGAATGTCAAATAACACAACGTAAACTTTTTGCCGAATCTAATAGCTTGAAAACTGGATCGCGAAAATGATAACTTTAATTGTGCGATTAATTCTCAATTTGTTTGTACTTTTCTCTATTTATATATAAATTGTATATATATTCTATTATATTCTAATGCATATTCTGAATCGGAATATGTATTAGAAAGAGATCAGTAATAATGCAAATGAATTAATAAAGACGGAAATTTGTTCGTATTGAAATAATTTTTTTAAATTCATTTCAACTTTATTCTTCGTTTCGCTTTTGCCGAGAAGTTTTGTTCTCGACGGAATTTACTTTTAAAATCGAGTACCGCTCTTGGAAATAATTGATATTGATTTTATTTGTGTTCCCATAATTACTTGTACAAGAATTGATCTCGGAAAGTTCTCGTGCGCGACAATTTACATGCGAAAATACATTTATTAGGCAAAATCGAGAACAGAGAATTGAGAGAAACAGAGAAAAAAATAGACAATTTTTTAAATTAAATTTGCTTACATATACAGGGTGTTTCTTAATAAATGCGAAATATTTTAAGAGATGATTCTTTGCCGAAAATTAAGGGAGGTTTTTCATATACACATATTTCACATTTAAAAAGTAGACATAAAAAGTTCTAATAAAAAATTGAATGAGGGGTTGCTAGTTTCATCCGCTAATAATACGGAAGGCTGAAAAACATATTAATAAATAACCTTTTTTTTAAAGAAATGAAATTAGAATAGAAAATATCCTGATTTCATTTCTTTAACTTGTTCCAAATTTGAGACAAAAATAAAAACCTAATTTTTACTCCCCATTTTTAGAGGAATGTAATTCCACAGGCAGAGATGTAGGAGTATGTTTATAAAACACCACCCTTAATTTTCGACAAAGAATCATCTCCTAAAATTTTTCGCACTTATTAAAAAACACCTTATGTGTGTATATAATCAGGATCGTCCTGACGTACGTACCTTTAACGTTTTAACCGCTTACCGATCGCAGATTCCTCGTCCCGGGTCCTCGTTCCTCGTTTCTTTAAGATTGATGACGCATGGCGCGCTGTCCTGAAATACCAAAGTAACATGACAAGAATTACTTTAGTGAAAGTTATCTCGGCGGAGCGTGAAATATGCGGACATCGCGACAAGACGCGTGCGCGACCGCGATTGACGGCTAATAATACACAGTGGTTACAAATCCGCGACATGCTCCTGCGTGGCACACAAGTGCGTAAATATTTGCGGTTGTCTTATATATCAATGGGAAATAGGGAAAGAGACACACCGAGGTCTCTCTACAAGATGTTTCGCACAAGAGCGTTAGACTATGTATCGTATTAAAAGTTATGAACAGACATAATTTGTCAAAAGATAAGCAACTTTGTGCGGTAAAAGATGCTTATTTTTTGACAAAAGATACGATAGTGTCGATCTATATCGTATTATTTATACGCAAGATGCTCTGTTTTGAGACAATTTATGTTTGTCAGCTCGAATGTCTGTTGAAATATTATTAGAATAATTTTGCTTCAACTGTTATTCTATAGTGAACTAGCACGATTCATAAATTATAGTTAACAGGAACTTCCATCGGCGAGGATTAGTCGATCCGAGAGCATCGAACCGGATCGTTATAGCTTTAGTAGCTTCCTTATATTCGGAGTAATTAAAGAGGTACCTTTTTTCCACCGAAACATGTTATTACCAGAAATACATAATTAACACCTCTTATCGTTACTACATTCTACGTTTCTAACGTGCACTCTGGAATTCTTTATAGCCCCGCGAGAAAGCTTTTATTAGGCTGCACTCTATAATCGCCTCTGAGAATGTGCGCTCTACGATATCCGAAACGTAAAGAGAAGAAGAGAAGATTCGCAATGGGATGGTAGATGAAGCGTGAGATTAAAAAGGGTACCCCGAAGATTTATGAAGAGAGACGCCTCAGAAAACATTGGCCAGATCAAATTTTATTTGTTGTCTTTCGCGAAAGAAAGAAAAAAAAATTATTTGGCTTTGTTTCAAAAACGCGCGTCCCAGGAATGATAGAAGATGTTGCAAATTCTCAAAGTTACAACGTTAACTAGACTCGGATTTAATATAACCGCATCGTTCTGCGGCACAGATTTTCTCTGGCAGAAATGTACACTCGACGTAATCGATTCTTCCATGACACAGTAGGATGATGCGTCGCTAACCTTGGCCGCTTCCTGTCACACAAACACACACACCCACACACGCGTAGACACAAACACACTCGCGCATTTATTGACACAGCTCTGACCAATTTTCTTGGAGTCAGACCACACTCGCTCACCGATATTCCTTTCGGGCGACCCGCACGTGAACGTCGTACCGATTACGAGACTTCACGTAGCTGCACATGTGGCTTGAATACGTACGCTTTTACATGTGTATACGGCCGTGTAAGTCGTGCTCGCGGTTCGCGACGAGGAGGATAATGAGGATCGTCAGCGAAAGAATTCGCGAAGGCTTTCGATGACGGTCAGATCGGGAGATGTCCCACGCGATTTTATCGCCAACGCGACTCTACATCGCCTTGGTCGTGGAACATAAAGCGAATAATATGTTGTATACAAGATGCTTCGGCAATCGTGACTTTCTCGAGATACTAGTGATTGAAGCATCATTGACTTTCAACAACGATCTAAATACATGTCGAGAGAGATTAAGTTACGAAGATTGCGAATAAATGAGAGGATTATTCTTATTCTCGTTTTATAATTTTAAATAAATTTTAATTCGAATTTTTAATTGCATATGCAAAGTTAATATTTTCTATGCAAAAAAATTTAATTTTAAATCTTATTATATTGTATATAAAATAGAAGGAATTTTAGATTTTCAAGAAAATTGCTCCGTGCTCGGGAGAAAGTTGATCATTTCTCTCTCGGAGAAAGATAGTTTATATCAGCTGTTGTTAGGAAATTTTTGATTTTAAAATTTAATTAAATTTACTGCAACGTGACACGAAGTAAATAAAACTTTCGATATTTAGGTAAAAATGGAGATAAATTTAAAAAATGTTCCTGTATGTATAGATACAGATATAATAGTGGAAAGAAAATAAAGTTGCGTTCGAAATATTAAATTTTCTAGTGAAACTGAAATAGATTTTCGTGCGGCTTTCTTACTCAAGCAAAACACAATTATTCAAAGTTGGAATGGAAAATGTGTTTGAGCGAAGATAAAGCTTTAACATTAGTAAAGATAAAAATATCTTACAGAGATTTTTTAACTTAATATAAATGTTCTCCATATTTTGTCACAAGAGACTTTATAAATATATATATATATATATATGAAGAATATGTAGATGTGAAGAAACTTTCCCAGGTTGACTGGTCGCGAACAAAGTATTACTGTAATACATGCTTTGAAATAGTATAACGCGTGCATTTTTCAAAAATGAAAAATAATATTAAACTTTTTTTTATACAATATTTTTAATTAAAAACGTGGCAACTCTTTATAAACGTTATTGCAAAAAAAGACGATGCATTAAAAAACAAACGTGAACAAGTGCTAAGAATGATCATCTTGATAACTCGCATCGAAATAAATCATTCATGCGTTAATCATCCGTTCGTGCGATTTTCCTCTCAAAATAATTCCCCGAGATATTTAAATATTTAAAGGTTTACGTGTCTCTTGTCGAGTTTATTTCTGCTGGAAAACGATGACAAAACTTTTCTCGTATGCTTGTAAACACGTCGCCGGCGAGATTACTCACGAATGTCGGTGATACAGCAACGGATGACTTATATATTTTTCGCGGAACTATTACATAAAAGTATTGGCAACGACAATTCCGCGTGAAACGAGAATTAGAGGAGATGTACACTGCATGTTTTATCATGTAGGTATACATTGCATTATAAAAATAGAAAAGAACGTAGAAAAATAAGAGGGAAGAATGACAGATTTGTCATATCTCTGCTTGCGATGATCTTTTCGAAGATGATAAATCGAAGAATTTATATATCACGGCAGACAAATTACATATTAATTATGTGAGACAATAATTTAAGAAAAACAAAGCGATGAGAAAACACAACAAAGAGATACATATCTATTGTTTTAATATTTTGCCATTGTGTCAATTTTTCTCTCTTATGAATTGTCGATGTATAATATTTCTACGATGTATAATATGTACAAAAAGAACCATCGTGACTTGATGACTATTAATATCGATTGTAAAGAGATGGATTGAATATCGATAATAAAGAATGTATACAAATTTAAAAAGAATCAGCTGTTGTTACGATTCAAAAGTTAGTGGCATTTTTCAGTGCTTATTCGTGTCTCGAGAATTCATAAATTTTTCTTTTCATAGAAAGGTTTATGTTAAAAGAAAATAACATAAATAAAAATAAATAAATAAAATTATTAAGAAAAATATTAGATATTATATAGAAAGCAATATGTGCGTGATCGCAATGTTGTATTTGTAAAGCAATATTCACAACTTGAAATTAAACCAACTTCTGTAATGTCTGTAAAGTGGCATAGCTTAAAATTATAAAGGAAATTATATCATCTTAAAAAACAACAGAATAATGGACGATTAGAAAAATCAAATAACGTGCAATTTTACGCGATATGTGAAAGCATAATATTAAGATGTAATATATATGTTTATTTTAAGTAAGTGAAAGTCGAATGAATGGATCGAAGCGATTATGCGGTATCTAATAATGTTAAGTAAATATTGAAAATGTCAGTTAGAGAGAAGAGTCGATGAAGACGGGTTCCGAAGGTTTTAATATACCTTGGCTTTATTTAAAAATTTCTAAATTTTTTTTTAATTTGAAATTTTTTTTTAACTTTACTAAAAGTAACTTTAATTGAAAGATAATAACACAAATCTACGGAAAAATTCTAGAAAAAAATTCCGTAAAGCAACGTGATATTAACTTATTTCGTCAAAGTCAAGTTCTAAGATCCTCCTCTCTAACTCTAATAACTTCTTCAATCGCTCGCGTTCGTGGAAGGGAAGTATGACGTGAACGCCCAGTCACGCTAAATGTCTCGATGCCTTCTTGTGATCGAGCCTTTAAAGTCGAACCAGTATCCGAAGGAGACAACGTTGCGATCTCGTTGCGCAAAGTTGCGCGCAAAGTCTCGACTTTCACTAGCCGCCGTCATCGTCGCGCACGGATACGCGTGCGCGCGCACGTGCGTGTATCCTTGCGAGCCGCCACCACCGCACACGCGTGCACGAGAGAGACAGAGAGAGAGAGAGAGAGAAAGAACGCGCGGGAATTGCTCTCCTCGATCCTCGACATGCATCGCTGGACGCACGAAAAGCAAAAGATGCACGTAACCGACGGATTAAAGGACCGAAAGGAAAAAGGAGGATCAGCGCAATCCCCCTTCTCATTTATTATACGCGAAGTGTATATACTTCCTTGATTAGTCACTTTGTAATACTGGATTGCAAAGCTCGATTCTTTTTTCAATATTTGTTTGGCCGGAATATATGAAAGATGATTAAATGGACAATTATATTCTTTCCGATGGTGGAAAGCTTGAATCTTTTTGTTTTGGAAAGAGAATAAATATTCGCCCGTATATCGGATTTAAAGCAGCAAATGGAAGATAAATGTCCGCTCTTTAATCTCTCATTTGAAATATCATAAATTTAAAAACGTAGCTTTTAGTCAGGGAGGATTTTAACGTATATTATATCGTTATTATTATAAACGACGAAATATATTTCTGAAAATAAATCATTACTTGTTATTATTAAAGAGAATTTATCTTATTCGATTTTCATGTTCAAAACAGAAACTTTAAAAGCTTGATTCAAAATAAAAGCTCGGTTAAAAAATGAAAATTTAACGTACGAATCAATTTAATAAACTATTATGCAAATGACAGATACGAAAAAACGGTAAAATATCGTCGTCGAGAAAATTCACTGTCTGTGTGCGCGAAAAACCAAGGACGGAGTAGGTCAATCGGATTAAGGGAACACGATAAGAAAAACGTCACGGATTATTCTGACTGAATAAATTACAGTTTCCTTTTTCCAGGAT